GCCCGCCGCGAACCTGGGCGAACCTGCTCCTGCCGCTCCTCCCGCTCCTCTTCTTCTTCTTCGTCGTCTTCGTCATCCCCCCCCTCCTCCTCCCAATTCGTCCTCCTCCTCCTCGTCGTCGTCGTCCTCCTCCTCCTCCTTTTCCCCTTCCTCACCGTCTCCTGGTGCCAGCGCTTCTATTGGGAAGGGTACGCCGTCGTTGAGTTCGATTCAGGGACAAGACGGCTACCCTTTTTCCATGTCTGCCCGCCCCCCGACGCGTCGGCTGCTGCCCTCAAAGCACATAGGGGGCAGGTTTTTCCGCATCAAGAACCCGATCTGTGTCCCTGGCCTGAGATTTTGGAGCATGTGCGGGCCATTTAATTTGACTGCTTCTTGGCGATTGGACGTGTGTTCCTGAGAGAGGGTTCGCCATTGACGCCGCGCAGCCCTGCGGGAGGGCGGGATCCCGCATTGGTGTTGGAAGGCGGGAGGAGCTGCCGAGATTTGGTTTGAAGTGCATTCTGAGATGCATGATGCGTTGGCGAGCTCGCGCGCGAAAGCTCTGAGCGATGCACTCCCCGTTGGCTTGCAGATGGTTCCGCTGGGTGCGGTCGACCCGACCCAGCGAGGGGGCTTTCCCGGGATGGGGTTGGGCGACGTCGTTGATCGAATGGCGTTGGGCCCGCCGGAAGTTGCTTGGAAGGGGCCGATCGGAGATTTTATTGTAGTGGCCTCCGGCCAGTGCCGCCGATCCGGGGCGCTCTTAATCCTCCTACTCCTCCTCTTCTTGCTTCTCCTCCTCCTCCCGCATCCTCTTCCTTCTCCTCCTCCTTCTCGTGCGCTTTCCGCTCCTCCTTTCCCGCCTCGGTGTCCTCCTACTCCTCCCTCATCTCCTCTTCTTCCTCCTGCTCTACGTTTTGTTCCCCCAAACTCGTTTTTGTGTGTGTAAAAAAACGTGCTTCCTCTCCTGATCCTTTTTTTTCTCCTCCGAGAGCGTCTCGTCGTTCCTCGAGGACCGGCCCACCCTGTCCTGGCCCCGTCTAGGGGCTAATAGAGAGCCCTTAGGGGGCTTCAAGATAGCCTCAAGAGGGCTCTAAGAGAAGGAGGCCCAGGTCTCATCGAACCGCTGTTCTCGATGAGACCTGGCGCGCTCCTCCTGGAGCCCTCTTGGGGTCCTCTTGTCCCACTCCTGGTGCCCCTCGAGAGCCCTCTCACACTGTCTGGGTCGGCTCTTCTGGCTCCAAGAGATTTCCAACCGGGCCTTATACGAGGGTTCCAAGAGGGGTCCCAGAGAAACCAAAATGGGCTTCAGGAGAGTCCCAAGAGGGGCGCGCGAGGTCTCATCGGTCCCGGGACCCGGGACCGGCGCATGCAGGACCCTGGACCCGGACCGGCGCACCGGGTTTCGCGCCGGTCCCGCTTCCCGGGTCTCGCGCAGCAGCTCCCGGGTCCCGGGTACCCCCCGCGCTGGTCCCGGGTCCCGGGTCCTGGGTCCCGAGCCGGTCCCGGGTCCCGGGTCCCGCGCCGGTCCCGGGTCCCAGGTCCTGGGTTACGCGCCGGTCCCGAGCCCCGGGTCCCGGGTCCTGGGTCCCGCGCCGGTCCCGGGTCCCGGGTCCCGGGTTCTGCACCGGTCCCGGGTCCCAGGTCTCGCGCTGGTCCCCCAGACCATCCGGATGACTAAAAAATTATCTCTGGGATATTTATTTTTATATTTTTATCGTTGAAGATAAAAATAAAAAGTGCTAGAGGCATGTAACATGCACATTTTTATAAAATTATTAAAACATGTATATGTATAACTATTCATATATATATATATATATATATATATGTATGTATGTATGTATGTATGTATGTATGTATGTATGTATGTATGTATGTATGTATGTATGTATGTATGTATCTATGTATGTATATATATATATATATATATGTAAATATATACACATATGTAAGAGGCCTGCAAGAGGTCACCCAGAAGGGCCCACAGAGGCCAAAATCCTTGATTGTCATTCGGTTTTTGAAGGGCATTTGCTTCTTTTCAGCCTTCCGACGGCTCAAGACGGCCCAAGAGGCCTCCAAGATCGCCCCACGATCGCCCACGAGGCCTCCAAGATGGCCCCATGACGGCCCAAGAGGCCCCCAAGACGGCCCCAAGATGGCCCCAAGACGGCCCAAGAGGCCTCCAAGACGCCCAGATGGCCTCCAAGACGGCCCTGAAGGGCCCCAAGACGACCCAGAGAGGCCCACAACACGGCTTCCGACGGCGTCAGACAGGCCAGGAACGCCCTAGGGAGGAGAAGGGGGAGGAAGCGGAGGGGGAGGACGATGATTTTTCACCAGCGCGCTAACAGGTCACGCCACCTGCAGAGTGGCTCGGTACTTGCGGATTGCTTCTGTAGCAATCGTTCTGCAATGGAGCGAGGCTGCTACGTCGACCGCTTCACCAATCGTGGATTCATCTCCGTAGTTCCAACCCTCCTTGGGGTTGCCTCGCTCCTCAGTTTGCGTCTCCATCAAATGAAGAAACAAATGATGTTTGGGGATGATCTTCCACAGGTCGGTATTGGGGTCTGCACTCGCCGCCTCCCTCCAGAGTTCCGTGTATAGGACCACGTGCTTTGTGGCTAGAACCTTCGTGCGGAAACCAGACGTTTCATGATCCCACTTGGGGAGCTCATCGTATATCTGCGCTAACAAATCTAAGCAGTTGTACCGAAGCCTGTCGTGATCTGAAGAGCAATCGTAGAAGGTGCTCAACATGTGACGGGCTACCTGCAGAAGATGCCTGCCTTCTGCTGCTTTTGTCCGCATTTTGGGCGCTTTCGAAGGTTGTCTTATCATGGCTAATGTCATGGCGTACACTGGGACCTCGACTCCAAGAAACCTGGAGCTCGCACGTATTTGAAACCTGATAATTTCCATTGCATGCTTGCAAGAAGGCGTATCAGGCGTCACCGTGCCGCCTAAACTCCTATACATCTCCCAGAAGCAATTGCCGAGCAGGTTCTGGAGTATCCCCAAGCACACCACATGCATCAAGTCAATTAGTATGTATTGTAATTTCATCCCTGGAAAACTGAAAATCTCGCTTCTAAACCCCCGCTGCCAGAAACGATACGTAGAGTACTCAGCATCCGTATACTCCAGACCCCTCCATGGAGCATTGATGTCTGCCAGCCTAAAATCGAAAGATGGCTTATTGTTGGCAGGGCACCGCCAACATACGTGGCCGTGCGCACCCTCCCCTTTCCGCCCCGATAAGCCGAAGGCTTGTTTGTACCAAGCCCAATCCCCCTTGATCTGAATGCAAGCTGCCTTGCAACGAAGAGCACTAGATGCAGACGAAATACGGCCCCGATCGCCAGCGAGCGTGCTCTTGCCGAATGGTACCAAGTCGTGTCGCACGGAAGGAAATCGGCCAAGTGCTAAACACGTGAGGCTCCACCCCATCACCTGCCACGCCGCCTCGAACGTGCAGCGGCCATAGCATCCGCACTGGCACACGTACCTACAAGAGAAATTGAGATGGGCAGTGCGATGCCTTCTATAATGTTCTGAAACCTAAATTATTTCTGGAATCTGTAATGTTTCTGGAATCTGTAATGTTTTCTGTAATCTGTAATGTTTTCTGGAATCAGTAATGTTTTCTGTAATCTGTAATGTTTTCTGTAATCAGGAATGTTTTCTGTAATCTGGAATGTGTTATGGAATCTGTAATGGTTTCTGAGATCAGTAATGTTTCTGTAATCAGGAATGTTTTCTGTAATCAGGAATGTTTTCTGTAATCAGGAATGTTTTCTGTAATCAGGAATGTTTTCTGTAATCAGGAATTTTTATATTATTATGCTTGAAAATAAGATACCTCCCCCATCACCCTCCAGAGGAGGGGGGAGGGGGGAGCCAAGTGCAGGGATGGAGGGGGGATGGGCTTTACCTCCCAATCGTTCCGGCCCCCCACGCACCGTTTCGGGAAACAGCAAAACCAATGCCTGGTGTGCCGCATCTCACTGCCCGAAAGAACCTGCCATGTAAGCAAGTAGATGCTGTCGCGATGGGCGTAAGGAGCACTGTCCCCCCAGAGCCCCAAACTCGCGAACTTCTCCACGGATGTGTTGCGCGGTGGGTCCAGCGACTCACCCCACTCCCTCAAGACGTCGTTCAGAGGTTCCAACTCGGGGACGAAAGTACACCAGGCGTCCACTTTATTCGGGTCCACGTAAAAGTGAAGCATCTCGTGGGGGAGCATGAAGTTAGTCAGCATTCTAGATTTTCGACCTCGGATGGGGTCCCAAGAAGGAAGATACGACTGATCTACTTCTGGGGTACATGTATTTCCCATGCGCCGCATCAAGCCTTTGTACGCGTTTCCACCCAGTTTCACCTGCCCCCATTTCTTTAGTACATCTGGCGTTTCGGTAGGGGCATCCGCACACATGACTTGTGACGTCTCGACCACTTCGGATGCATTGAGCTTGCCAACTCGAAACTTACGTTTCAAAAACCCTCTGTCGACGACTCTGGACAGCATCTCTTGGAGCCATACGATGCGCATAAACTCGTGCTGTCCTGGTGGGGTCCCAAGCTCGGGCCAATTAGTCGGCGTTCACATCGGGTCACTCCTTAGATTCGGTGCGAGGCGGGGACTGGGGAGAGGGGGAACCAATTGACCCGATACTTGGACCCCACATCTCATGAGGTCGGTCCTTGCGCGAACTTGCCGAGGTTGACTGCAGGAGCTGCTGGCGAACGCCGCCGCCAACCATTCAAACGGCGCCATGAATCTTTGCAAAACTGCAGGCTTTAAATGCTTGGGCCGATCGCGCAGCATGCCAGACTGGGGGGGGGTGGCCAAATCAACAACAGACAAACCTGTCTTCCCATGGAAAAGGATGAAGAGGAGATGGGGGGGGAGGACGGGGATGGGGGAGGAGGAGGAGAGGGGGAGAGGGCGGAGGTAAAGGGGAGGGAGCGATTTGAGATTGATGGCGAACGATGCCGAAACGGGAAAAGGTGCG